TCTCTACTCTCTAACTCTCCTTCTTTCTCTCTCTAACTCTCTCTCTCTCTCTCTCTGTATGTGCACTGTTAGTACTTAGTATTACCAGAAGCTTCTTTCTCTATCTAACTCTCTCTCTCTAATTCTCCTTCTTTCTCTCTCTAACTCTCTAACTCTCTGTATGTGCACTGTTACTACTCTTAGTATTACCAGAAGCTTTATGAGTGAGAGTGCAGATGAGTATGGGTTTGTGGCGTGGGGAAGAGGCATGTAAAGGGCAGAGAATCCTTTGATTGACACGTGGCAAGATGTGAGCGGCTGAGGGGCAGCTTCGTTTATCCATTTCGTGGTCTCTATGGCTGAGGTGGTGGGCCCGGTTTGGGCCCCCCGCTCACTATGCTTTCCCTTCCAAAACCCTTTTGTTTCGCTCTTCTTTTTTTTTTTTTATTATTATTTATTTATTTATTTTTATTATCTTTTGACCAAAAGGTTTTCATTTTCTTGCTCTTGCTATGGCCAATTACACTGTTTTTGTTGGGTTTAGTGAAGGGGTTAGGTGTTAATCCTATTATGGCGAAGTAAGAGTCACAAGATACATACAGTTTTGGTACTTGATGGTACAAAAATCTATTGTCGTCTTTGATTATGAAATTCGAAAGTTAGATATAGTAGATCTTAAAATAGTTTAAAATTTTTAAAATGGGAGATCTAGATAATGCATTACAAGTTGCATTATTTTCATGGTTTGAAAAATTTTTATATTTAATATCTAGATGAGATAATCGATTTGAGGGTTTTGTTTTGACATGGTGCATTATTTTCATGATTTGAAAACTATTTATTTTCAATATCCAATTCAGATGATCAATTTAATGGGTTTTTTTTTATAAAAAAATGACCTTATTATTATTATTATTATTTTTATGGGTTGTTGGAGTGCGCCTTATTTCAATGGTATAACATTAATACCTTATATAAACTTTAGGGAAAGAGATTTAGATGTGACTTATTTATTCCTTTTCTGTTTTTTTGGGCTTAGAGATTGCTCACTTACCTATTTACTGTTGATTTCTGGAGAGAGAAAGATAGTTGTTTGGCTAATGTGTTTCTCTTTGAGAGAGAGAGAGGCCATGTATACAAAATTTATCGATTTTGGAGTGTTTGGTGAACATAGATTTTATCCGTTTCTTGCTAAAGAGAATCTAGGTTCTTTCATCCCATGGGGAAACATATCCTATTTTGTGCCTTCTCATTTAGATTAGATCCTTTAAAAATGGAAATCGGAATGAGTTTGGGAAAAAATAGACCTCAACCCAAACCTCAAATAATTTGTATGAGGATGTGGACCACATTATATATATATATATCATTATTATCATTGTAGTTTTTTTTCAATTAATTGGGGTCAGCTACATGAATCCTGATTCTCTATTATGTTATATTAAAGATCATATCTTCATTGAGACCTTAAGTCTCCACATCTTTTCGAACTATTTCAAACCACGTCATTTTGGGTCGACACTTTGTCCTTTTCAGTTTTTTCGCTTGAACTAATTCGTACCTCTTAACAGGTATTGTACTTGGTCGGTGTCATACATGGCTAACCCACCTAAGTCTCTCTCATTTTATCACCTATTGGTGCCACGCTTAAATTCTTTTGAATAGATTCATTGCAAATTCTATCCCTTTTTATCTTGCCACCCATCCATCTCAATATCCTCATCTCCGTTACACTCATTCTATGGGTATATTATTTTTTGTCTGCTCAACATTCCATCCCATAGAATAAAGCTAGTATCAACGTTGTCTTATAGAACTTTCCTTTCAATCTTATTGGTATCACAGAAAATTCCAGTTACACATCTCCCCTTTGCTCACCCAGCTTTGATTCTGTGTGCGACATCTTTCTCTATCTTTCCATTTTCCTAGATTATAGATTCAAGATATCGAAAGTACGATCTTGTTTGTACTTCATGACTGTCAATCTTAACCACTTTTTTATTTCTACTCCTATTATTATTA